CAGTGCAAACATTACCGATTTCTATATGCTCATTGTCACATTGCTGGGTCTCCCCAGTGGCTGGGAAGGAATATGTTGGTTGGAACCTGTGGAATGATTACTAAAAATGATCGATAATACAGCATCAGTAAAGGTATAAAATCAAAAGGCTTCTCGGGTAAGACACAGCCGCAGCTGGTATGTGAAGAATCTGCTACATCTGCGATTCCCTGTACCCTATTGCTTGTAAAGCAACACGGGGAGTGGAGTGGAGTGGAGACTCCAAGGCCAAACCCCGTGATAATCCAGCAGACATGGGAACGAGATGGCACCACAGAAGGAAAACAGTGCAAAGGATGGGACAGAGTGGAGACACTGCAGCTAAAACCCTGTGATAAACTGGGGACTTGGGGACCAAATAAAGTCCTCGAAGGTCTTATAGAACTGATAAACTGTCTACTTGTTACCCTGAGCCAACAATCTGTCACTTTTTTTTGACAAAATGCTGTCCTTTGGTGAACTTTGCTAATTATAATGTCATTATAATACCAAAACACACCTCCATCCCAAAGGCTACCCGCCTCCAAGGTGCGACCACTCCTCCTTGAGTCTGCGCCCTGAAATTTTGGTAAACTATACCTTTAAATGCGAGGTGAGAAAATTTTACACCAATCATAATGAAAGTATTTATGACTAGAGTCACTCAAACTCCACCTTGAAGATAACAAATAGTATAAAAATAGCCCAAGAAAAGGGGGATGTGAAGGAAGACACTATCGTGGACTTCTGGGACCAGTCGACGGGCTGAGACTCTCTTTTCCCCCCATAAGGACACTTGTGGGTAAGATTCGAACACTTGGCTATACCAAGTGCTTCCCCGGGAAACTTAGAAATCTCTATGTAGAGTAGTTTTATAACTTAGTGCTTTTGTTAACCGAGCTATATTGCTAGCATTTTTAATATTCGCATGTGATTTGCAGACAGTCACTATCACCGGCAATCCAAAGGAACTCGTGTATCTGTTGTTTAAATAAACTGTACTGTGTAAGCAGCGAGTCGTTTGGGTTTTCTCATTGAACGTGACCGAAGCAAAGGCCGTGTTGGTTCATGAGCACAACTGGGCTGAAGGTGCAGTCTGCTATTAGTGTATCCAGAACCGTAACAGTTTAATATACTAAACGCACCTGGACTGATAGTGGTGAATTGGGCATCACTCAGAATTTCAACCTAGCCCCACCGAGCCTCCCACCTCGGTGAGGAGAGTTAGAACACAAGGGGGGTTATTTTCTGCCAAGACTACTTTGCCCCTTTAACGCAACAGAACCATGTCAAACCCACTGCTCCTTCAAACTTTGTTTTATTTGTTGTCCGGTTTTTATATTTTATGTCGGGCTGAGCCACATCTATGCTGTCCCCTCTGCCCCTCGTGCTGGTGTGGATAGCTCAAGAAGACATTGTTATTTGTTAGTTGTCTGAGGGAACCTGGTGATTCACTGGTGCAGCTGTTTTATCTAAAACCATGGTAACCCTCCAGTCTCCCTGGCTTTGGGATAAGTGCGTCTTTTTTTTTACAGCACATTATTCCTCGAGCTCGTTGTCTTTTTACCCTTCTCCTCTGAGCTCTTCTCCATTGTGGGGGTGTGCTGGTCTGCCAAAAGCGCTCGGGTTTTCAGTGCAAGGGAACAATTTGTTTCTTTCCCCCATATAGTCCAGATGAGATATGCTGTGTTTTGAGCATGGCAGATCACAGGAGCACGATAGCAGTGCAAAGTAGGGGTCTGTACAACCTGTCTTGTTTACAAAAGGACAGATTGCAATTCCATTTTTCCTTTGAAAGTGACAGAATGTTTTGAACAAGGAATGATGCACCAGCTGCCAGTGAGAGGAAAGCAGAAGGAATAGGAAAACCTGTCTGATACTCATACAAAATTCAAAACTACTAGTTTGAAAAATAAGAATACCTTTCCAAAGGTTTGTTCATATATATTCTTACAATACGATGTCTGACAGTAAATTTTTTGCCTACTATTGGTCTAAAACTTGAAGCCTGAAATATTAGCACTTCATTAGGATTAAATGAATAACTGTGCATTCTAATTACCCTGAGGTTATTAATACATACACAATACCCTACAGGAGCCTTATCTTACTGACCTGAACTTTAAACACATATGAAAAAAACATCACCTTAATTACCTGGAGGATGCAAAACCCAGATGCAAGGCATCTGAAAACTTACAGACAGAAACCAAAAGCTGAGCGTAAAAATCACGGGGATAGACAGCAAGTGTTCTCACTACACTATAAGCTTAGTCATTTGCCTCTATCTCGCCAAATTAAATCTGCCTTGATTTCATCTTGTTCTGGATCTGTTCTTAGCCAATGTTCTAACTAAACAAAATTTTAAGTGCTGTTGCTTGAGCACTGTTGCAAATAAGTATGGGCAGGGGTTGGGGAGCAGAATGAGAGGGATTTTGAAATGTGGTGTTGTGCTGATAGTGAGGCACTAATAAGTGGAAAAAAAAGAAGTCAGTCATATAAAAAGAACCCCAAAACTATTCTGGAATACTTCTTTAGGCTAGTTATAGCAGAAAAGTCTTGAGTTTGTTTACTGTTTTGTGCCTTGTCACTTTGGTATAAACTAGAACTGTAGCAAGCATAATACATTTTTTAAGCCCCAGTATCACACTCGGTTCACACATCCACTATTCCCAGGAAGAGAAAGGAGGTATGCTTGGGACTACACCAAATTTAAGGAGGCTTCCCATTATACCTATGCCTTCCTCTGCAGCTCTGCAACACAAAGCACAGTTGCTGCAGCCTAGGTAAAAGTGGTGAATGCCTCTGCTTGGTAGAGGATAGTAACTGATTAGAATAGTTCAGTGAGGGTTACTTCCTATCAGAAGTGAGGAAAAGCAAAGATCATTCCCATGTTTATTAATATACTCTTTTTCTGAAGTGATGCAGATTAGCTAGGGAGAAGAAAATTGTCATCTAAACCATAATTGTTAGCCTCTTCTCAAAAAAAACCCCAGAAACAAACAAAAAAAACAGCATCCAAAAAGAGATAGATTTGATATTGACCATGAAAACATATCGGGACAGTATTAGAAACAATATTTGAGATGTTAGGGTAATGAGCTCTTATTTTAAGCTTTTCATATGACCATAGAAAGCAAAACACTCCTTTGGTTTTATGATAGAATAAAATAGTCTGTAGGAAGCTACTCTTTTTTTTCTTTCCCAGTTTAGCAGAACAACAGATATAAACTACTTACTACATGTTCTCATATGGCACAGTTTAGAAGAGTATGTAGATATTATGCTTCCATTTCCTACATAAAAAGTCAGAAGAAAATAACATTATAGCCTTTTTTTTTTTTTTTTCCTGAAGGAAGCCATTGTTTATGTGTTAGTCTAGCAGTTATTCCAGCTTGGGATGTCCTTATACTGCGACATTTGAAGCATCCTTAGACAATGATTGCGCCTTGCTTTCATTAATACTAATTCAGAATCTTGTCTGTTTCCAGTATTGATTTAGACCCACAAAACAAAAGCTGAAGATTGAAAAGCTTGATCTGCAGTACAAGAGAAAGTTGATTTTCTTACTAATTAGGGTAGCAGAAATTTAAATCTGCAGTTATACTAAAGGACATTTTGTAGAAAATAAGGAACAAAATCCCCACAGCAGTAACTCCAAATGAGCAAAATTAGTAAAAGTCCCAATCTTATATAAAGGTAATAACATTAAATAGATTCTATTCTGCCTTCTGGTTAATATGTGCTTACAGACTCAAAATTGCTTGTGTAAAAATCAGAAGGGAGTATCAAACTACCCATTTAAGAAATTTCCATTTTAATATTCCCCATTTTAGAAATGGGAAGTGGAAAGCAAAATACAAAACTAATACATTAGAAAACCTGAGAGCACAGATGTCCTAATGCCATCAAGACATATCAAAACATTAAAATATCTGGGAAAAAAAGTTTATAGAACTTTCAATACAAATAAAACAAAATGCTTAAGTGAATACCAGCGTGAAAGTGATGAGAATTTAAAGTAATCCAAGCAAACCTCAGTCATGAGGTTTTGCTCAGTCACGTGCAAAATAAAATGCACACACATACTCACAGCAAATGAGTTTATACAGATCCAGGGAGGGGGAAAAAATCTTTCAAATTGTTCCGCACATGTACATAGTTGGAAATGTTTCGTTCCGGGTGGGTGTAATTTTTTGTTTCCTTTGTAGACTCTATAGCACTGTTTAACAGGTAACAGCGAGCGATGTTCCATCCCGCCCTGTGACGGAGACAGAAAAAAACTGGCGGGGACCCCGCCCCTCGCGCTGCAGTCCCCAACCAGGTCGGACCACAGGACATAAATACCCAACCGCCGCTCTCTTGTCGCCACTTATTCGTTTTCAGCTTCAGCAGCATGTCTGGCAGAGGCAAGGGCGGGAAGGGGCTCGGCAAGGGGGGCGCCAAGCGGCACCGCAAGGTGCTGCGCGACAACATCCAGGGCATCACCAAGCCGGCCATCCGCCGCCTGGCTCGGCGCGGCGGCGTGAAGCGCATCTCGGGGCTCATCTACGAGGAGACGCGCGGCGTGCTGAAGGTCTTCCTGGAGAACGTGATCCGCGACGCCGTCACCTACACGGAGCACGCCAAGAGGAAGACGGTCACGGCCATGGACGTGGTCTACGCTCTCAAGCGCCAGGGACGCACCCTTTACGGCTTTGGCGGGCTAAAGCCTTTTCACTTCGCTTAACATCTCGACAACCCAAAGGCTCTTCTAAGAGCCACCCACTTCGACTCCGAAAGAGCTGTGTTGCTTCAAACTTGGTAAAAGCGATGTAAGCGATCTTAAGTTTTGTATTAATCGTATTTCTTAATTTCCTACTTAAATAGTTCTTAAAAACAAGTATTTTCAAAGTAGCTAAACGTGTATTGGCAATCTAGGGACCATCGGAGTTAAATAGATCAAGGAACCTATAAAGCCTATTAGTTTCAGTATCGGTGTAATGGAATCCAATGGGTTTAGGACTTTTCTTCCCTTGTGCGAGCTGAATAACAAAACGCCCCGAACTTTTGCTGTTCCGAGATGGTGAGCTGGTCTTTTTTTCACTAGTTGAGTAATCAGTAGTAGAAGTAAATACGTACTGTTATTTAAATTGTGTTAGTCCCGCTAACGGTGCTCGGCCCGGGGAAATGTGCGGGCGCGGGGTGGGAGGTGTCACAGCTGATCGCCCCCTGAGCTCCCATCTCGTAACGTTGTACCGGAACGATCCTAAGTCTGTCCCCTGAAAGCTGTTAGGTTGGGGTTTTTTTTTTAGGGACTCATCCATTATTCTTAATGTGTCTGCTGTGTTAAATAAAGCTTGGGAAGCTGCTGCCTCCGATATGGGGTCGCTGAAGTCGGAGCAGTTCTCCTTTACCCAGGGACAGCATCAGTGCCTCCTTCGCCCGAAAGCCCTTCTCTGCTCCGGCTCTACGGTCAGATCTCCTGGCTGAGGAAACATAGCAGAAACGTGTAGTGGGAAAAACTGAAAGCTCCCGAATTAAAAACATTGTATTTCGGCACGCAATAATATTAAATTCGAGCACTTTCACATGCAAGTCATCTCAATCCAAAAGCATTTGCCATACCAGCTACGGTATTACTTTCTACTATTTCCAGATGAAAGCTACTCTATGGAAACAAAACAAAAACCCGACCACAAAACAAAAAAATCGACCCCCC